AGAAAAAAAAAAAAAAAAAAAAAAAAAAAAAATTAAAAAAAAAAAAAAAAAAAAAAAAAAAAAAACACTACAGATACATTTTTTTTCTATTAACTTTCATATCAGGCCTTAACAAAAACTCATACATTTTTTCTTTGTCATTAATCAATCCATCCTGTTAATGAAAAGATAAAAAAAAAAAAAATAATAAAATGTAATAAAAAGATTAAAATAATTTAAAAATATATATATAAACATATGAAAAAAAAAAAAAAAAAATTCTCCAGAAATGTATGAATGTGTATATAGTAGAAGAAAAAAAATAAAATTTTAAATAAAAACAGAAAAAAAAAAAAAAAAAACCTTAAGATTAAGTAGTTGTAAAGTAAACCCTGGTCCTATTTCACTTAAATTACATTTTTTCCTATCTTGAAAATTATACCTACAAATATATATTCATATAAAAAAAAAAAAAAAAAATTACATAATATAAAATTATTTTTTTTTTTTTTTTATTTTATAAAAAGAGAAGAAGTAATATGCATATATTATGTAGATATATTTTTAATTTATAAAAAGGTTACTTAAAATGACGAAAAAAAATAAAATCTCTTTGATTATAGAAAACAACAACTTTTTGAGCTTTATATTCAGGATTAAAAGGAACTAATGTATGTAATTGTCTTTTTATTCTTTCTCCAATAAAAGTATTAAAATTTGTTATATATACTTCAGGTGGTAATGTTGTTATTTCTACTTGTGTTTTATTATTATGAGCATAAAAAATATTTCTTATAGAAAATTTTGATGTAGGTCCATTGGGTAGAGTACTTATAAACATATTTTTTGGATGCTTATTGATTCCTTCTTCAATGAGAATAAATGTAGAAAAATTATTTTTAATTGAATTTTCAATTAGAAATTCAATAGAATGATTTAATCTAGGTTCATAAAAAATATGAGGAAATGTTATAGATAATTCTTTCATAAATAAAATTGTATATTTAGATGGTCTTTTTATTGATGTTATTATTATATTTGGTTCTCTTTTATTTTTAAAATAATCACTAAATTCATCTATATATTTTTCATCCAACAAAAATTTCTCATTCTCATTATTAATTTTGTTTTCGTCAAAAATTGATAGCCTCTCTATAGTTTTGGGAATCTTTTTTTCAATTGGTATATTTAATGATTTTTTCTCTTTTTCTTCTTCTTTTTTTTGTTTTCGTATAATTAATTTTTTTAAGTGTGCTTTTCCTTTTAAGGCATTTTTTCTATTTTTATTTTTAACATAACGAGATATTTCATTATATTTATCAACGTCAATTTTTTCTATTTCGTTTATTGACAGACATTTTTCCTTAGTCATGTATCTTAATTTTTTTTTCTCTTTTTTGTTCATTTTTTAATAAAATGATTTATCAAAAAAAAAAAATAATTTTATATTTGTTCTATAGCAATATAAAAAGAAATATATAGAAAAATAAACTCAAAATAAAAAATTAAACTTTTACATAATAATATAAATTTATATGACTACATTAAAATAAATGAAAATAAAGAAAACTAAATAATAATAAAAATTTTATCTCATATATATATATATTATTTAAATTAAACTCATTAAAAACCTAATATTTTTCGTAAATGATTTTATCTGTTGTATTAAAAAATGTTAATCATTTTATATTTTTCATTTTTAAATAAAATTATTTATAAAAAAAAATAATAAATGTAATTATTAAAATGAATTATTTTAGCAACATTATTTATAGAAAATGAAAAATTAATAAATCACTGTTACTTTAAAAAAGTTTATTTGAAAATTCCTACTTTATATGGAGAAATTTTATAGAAAATTATTATTCCTTTAAAAAAAAATTATATAAAAAAAGAAAAAAAAATCGAATAAATGAAAACAAAAAATTTCTAAAAGAATAAAATGATTCTTACAATTTTTTGCTTTTTGTCGTAATATTCTTTTGTTTTTTTTTTTTTTTTTGATAAAAAAAGTAACGATTTGTAAAGAAAATTATTATTAATTTTTTTTTTATATATATATATATATATATGCTCTCTTAATTTCAAGAAAAAAAATTTGAAAATGTTTTTAGTAAAAAATTTATTACATAGAAATAAAATAAAATACCATAAAAAAATAAAATAAAATAAAATAAAATAAAATAAAAAAAATGAAATAAAATAAAACAAAAAAAAAAAAAGAAACAAATAAAATTAAATAAAATAATATATATAAAATAAAATAAGAAAAAAAAAATTAAATAAAACAAAATAGTTAAAAAAAAAAAAAAAATAGAAAATAATATATTATGAGAAGTAATTTGTAAGAAAGAAAATAAAATTATGATATTTATATAATTTTTTTTATTTTTATATTAAAAAAAATGTCTAATTTAAGTAGTTTACTGATTTCAAATAATAGTTTAAAAAATGAAACAAAAAGTTTACTTAAAAGTATTAATAATGAAAATGAAAATGCTGATAAAAATATAGAAACTGTAAATTCTGAAAGTGTAAAAATAAAACTAATAAATTTACAAGAATATAAAACAAAAAAGTTTTTAGACGAACGTAAAAATGTAAATGCATGGAATTCTAATAATAATAAGAAAAAAGATGAAAAAAAAAAAGAAAAAAAAACAGAAAAAAAAACAGAAAAAAAAGCAGAAGAAAAAAATGACACTCAAAAAAAATTATTTAGGCCGACCCCACTTAAACAAAAAGAAGAAGTTGTAGAAGAGTTATTTCCTGATTTATTACAATTAAAAAAAGCTAGCAAGACAGAAAAAGAAAAAAAAAAAAACCAAGTACCCAAAAAAAATAAGAAAGAAAAAGCAGAAAAGAAAAAAAAGCAAGTAGAGGAAGAAACTATCTTTCCGCAGATAGAAGAAATACAAAAAAAGAATTTTAATATTTTTGATATAATTGATATAAAAAAGAATTACGAAGTTATTCTAAGAAATTCAGATAAAGTTTTAGAAAAGTATAAGAATAAAAAGAAATTTGATGATTCTATGATATTATGTAATTAAATATTTTACTCTATTATAATTATAATTGTTTTATGTATCATTATAATTTTATTTTATTTTTATAACCAATTTTTAATGTAATTTACTTAAATATTTTAAAGAATAAAGTAAAATATCTTTTATTTTTTATAAATTTTTTTATAATACATTTATATATATATCGCTTTGTTATAATAAATATATGACATTTTTTAAATTGTATATATGTATATATTTTTTTTTTATTACATTTATTATCATTTTAAAATTTAATATCCTGTAGTGCTTTTATATCAACGTATTTCTTAATTTATTTAAATTAATCTTTACATTTTTGTTTTTACCTATCTAATATTTTCTAACAATGTTCATGAAATATATAACTTTAAAAAAAAAAAAAAATTAAGTAAGCTTGTCTTTTTTTTTTTTTTTTCTCTTTCTTAATACCATGAGTAGTTTGTTTTATTTTTTTTTTTTTCTTAAATAAATTATTATAATTAATTATTTAAATAATTTATAAGCTATAATTTATTTATTTATAATATGAAAAAAGAAAATATGTATAATATTTAAAAAAATAAAACTTAGAAATATATAAGATAAAGGTTATTTTTTATTAAATACCTTGACATTTCTGAAAAAAACTGAATATTTTATTACTCATTTTAATTGAAATAATATTCTTAATATCATAAATATAATGAAATCAAATTTATTAGAAAAAAAAAAAAAAAAAAAAGTAAAAGGCTTAAATGATACAAAAGGAACAGAAACTGAAAATACACAAAACGAAAAAATAAATGTTTCAAATGAAAATAATGTATGTATTTATATAATTATATATTTATTATATATATATATATATATATATATATAGATTTTATTTTTCCCATATTTAATTCTACATACACATTTTTTTTTTTTCTTTTTTATATTTAAGAAAAATGAAATACTTACAAGGTTTTTATCTCCAAAAAATCCTAGAGCTTTTAAAAACTTGATTGAATTTTCTTTTTCTAATGAAGAATTTATAACAGTTGATCATATAGATCATACTGTTTTTCATTTAGATTTGAAATCGTTAGATATTAACTAATAATAGAAAAAATATATAAAAAAATATATAAAAAAAAAAAAAAAAATTTACATATTATTAAAATAATATAAAAATTAATGAGTTATTAAAATAGAAGTATACACATTTGGACAAAAAAATAATGATAAAAAATAATAACAAATGTATTTTTTATTCATAAAAATAGATGTTTAGTAATGAAAGAAAGCGATGAAGGAAAAAGACAGATAAACTTAATAAAAAAAAAAATTGAAAAAGCAAATTCCTTTACAACTTTAAAAGACAATGGTTAATTACAATATTAAAACATATTAAAAAAAAGTAAAAAAAAAATTTTAGAACTTTTAAATCTTTTATGTTTTTTATTTAGATTATATATATTATAAACCTAAAAATTGTTTTGATTACATTGATAGACATGTTCAAACAATACCAATCTCATATAAGTATACATTAAATAAATATAAATTAAATAAAATTACTATATAATTAAAAAGAAAAATAAAAAAATAAAAATAAAACAACTCTTTTTTTTTTTTTTTTTTTAAGGAATGAATCTTCTAAAACAGAACCTCAAGAAATAAATGAAATATGTGATACTGGTACATATGAAGAAAAAAAAAATTAAAAAAATATATTTTTTATATATATATATTGTTGTTAATAATATGATTATTTTTCATATATATATATATATATATATATATATTTTATTTTTTTAATTTATTTTTTTTTACTTTTAGTTTGTCAATCCATAATATATGATGCATACTTACTTGAATTTCAAAAGATGTCAAATGAAGATGAAAAAAATGTCAAAAAAAAAAAAAAAAAAATATATATATATATATATATATATACAATTTGAATATTATTAATATGTTATTTTTCTTATCTTTATTTATTATGGTTGAATTTATATAAATACATTAATAACTTTAATTATTTAAAAGTATATAATTAAATGATTTATTAAATATATAATTGATTATTTCTATTATGAACACAACTCTTTAAAAAATTAATTTGTTAAATACATATATTTATGAATAAGAATATTTGAATGTATTATATATATTTTATCGTGATAATTTGTGTGTAGGAAAAAGAGAAATATAATAATGATAAAAAAAATAATGATGAAAAAAATGATAAACACAATTCAGATTTTGATTCTAGTAGCTATTCAGATGACAATAAAATTGCTACAGTTTTGTTTTCTTCAGTACCTTCTAGTGAAAAAGATTCAGATATATTAAGTGATAAAAATGACTATGATTATAAAATGAATTCTGATGAAGAAGATGAAGTAGAGGAAGATGAAGAATATGAAGAAGAAGAAGAAGAAGAAGAAAAAGAAGAAAAAGATAAAGAAGAAAATCATAATATAAAAGAAAAAAAAGAAGGAAATAATGATATAGAACCAAAAGAAGAAATAAAAGAAAAAGGAGAAAATGAGCTAATAAAAGAAAAAGATGGAATTTATTTTTCAGAAAAAAAGAAGAAAAAAAAAAAAAAAATAAAAGAAACATATAATGGTAAACACGAATTATATTTTATAAATTACAAAGATATAAAGGAAGAAAAACATAAGCAACTAAATTTCATATATCACGATAATAAAATAAAAAAAAGTGACAGTAAAATTATATGTAAAAAAAGTTTTTTAAAAACATTAAAATTAATGGATAGAATATATAATAAAAATAATGAAGAAGAAATATATTTATCTTATAAAAATAAAAATAATAAAAATATTTTAACAAAATTGTGGACATTTTCTTTAAATGCTTATCAATTAGTTGTTACTGACATTAAGTTTCATCCTTTTTATGAAGATTTATTTGCAATTTCTTTTAAAAATAATGATTCAAAAATAAACATGGGAATATTATGTTGTTTTACTTTTAAAAATACGAAAAGTCCTGAACATTTCTTAAAAACAAATTTTCATATCCATTCGATTGAATGGTCATCAGTTAATTATTCAATAATAATTATTGGATTGTCTAATGGTAATATATGTATATATGATTTAAAAAAAAAAAAAAAAGACAGGTTAATTTTTGAAAGTAATTTACGAGAATTATATAATAGAGATATTATTTCACAAATAATATTTCATCAAAATACGAAAATATTTTATTCTGTTTCTTATGATGGTAATATATTTCAATGGAAGTATAATAATAAATTTACTGTAGGAGAAAAATTATTAGCATTAGAGAAAGATATGGATAATTTAAATGGCTGTTTAAATATTATGCACACGCAATCTATTACTTGCATTGATTTTAATCCTTTTCAAATGAATTTATTTTTAATTGGAACAAATAAAGGAAAAATATATTTATATTCAAGTACATATTCTGACCATTATTTAAATTTATATAATGAACATAGTATGTCTATTAATTCTATTTCTTACAATAAATTTAAAAAAAATATTTTTATTTCGTCATCTTATGATTGGACAATAAGAATATGGCATCAAAATAGACAAAAATCATTAATTATATTTGATATTAAAGAAGTATGTACACATATATTTAAAAAAAAAAAAAAAAAAAAAAAAAAAAAATTAATATCTAAAATATATATATATTTTTAATTTTTTTTTTTTTTTTGTATAGTGTGTGTATGATGTTAGTTGGTCTCCTTTTTTATCTACTTGTTTTTTTGTTATTAGTGCAAATAATTGTGGAAAAATTCATATTTATGATTTAAGCATTGATATAAATAAAGCAATAATTAGCGAAATTATTACCAAAAAAAAGAAATTAAGAAAATTATGCACAAACAAATTTAATGATGTTGTATTAATAGGAGAAGAAAACGGTTATATATATTCATATAAAATATCCTATAGTTTTAATAAAATTTATATGGATTATTTAAAAGGAAAACTTGATGATACTTTTCAAATTCAAATAATGGATTCATTTTTAAGTAAAGTTATATGAAGATTTTTTAAGTATATTAAAAGAAAGTAAAGTAAAACACAATTATTAACAATTATTTTCAATTATGATATTTACAGTCTCTTATAAATAAATATATCTTAAAAAAAAATATATGAAAAAATTAAATAGTCATAAATTTACTTTTTTTTTTTTTTTAAGCATTGAGTTATAGAAATCTAACGTTTTTTATTTCATAAAATTTTTTGTTGTAAAAAGATAAAAAAAAAAAAAAAAAATGTACCTATGGTATGAAAAATATATAGTTTTAATATATATAAATTTAAAAAATTAATTACAATTATTCTTTTCTCTTTATATAAGTATGAAATAGTTTTATAGAAAACTTTTCTATATTTAATTATATATATATATATCTTATGATAATAAGAAATTAATGAAATGCATGAAGAAAAAAAAAATAAAAGGCAGTAATTTTATAAGGTCGTTAATATAAAGATAATTTTTTTTTGTAAAAAACATAAGAATATTTCTATATTTTTTTTAAACTAATTATTCATATATTCTACTGTTACATTTAATATATTTTACACATAAAACACTCTATTTTTATTGTCTATAATAAATAATGTTTCCTTAAATTTTTTTTTTATTAACCTTGAACTCATTTATAATTAAATATATTGTTTAATTGATTTTTATATAAATATGCTTCTCATTTTATTTTGACAATTATCATTATTAAATGTTTTTAAAATAAAATTTATACCAATTTGCAATTTTTCTAGTAAGTTTTTTATAATAAATATATCAGCATTTCATTAAATACTATGTTAATTTTTTTTGTATTTATAATTATTTTGTACTAGATTCTTTAAAAATAATATTTATTTTACCAGATATTTAGTTCTATTAATAATTTAAATATAATATTATTCTTTCTTATAATTTAAAACAAAAAAAAAAATGATATATTTTTGTGTGATATGGAAATTGCTTATATAAATTTGAAAATTAGTGTATTTTAAAAAAAAGTAATATATTTATAATAGAACAAAATTAAAATTTATTAATAAGTGTGCTTTTTTTCTTTTTTTTTTTTTTCTAATTTTTTAAAATGAAAGTTTTACATTAAATAATAAAGAAAATTAAAAAAACATATTCATATAAGTCTATCGTTTTAAAATTATTAATTTATAATAAAGTAATATAACCTTAATAGATTTATTTTTATCTATTTTCGTTTTATACTATTTATTTAAATTAAAAGATATTTATACAATAAAAAATTTGCATTCAAGAAAATACTACAAAAAAAAAAAAAAAAAAAAAAAAAAAAAAAAAAAAAAAAAAA